AACACACACACACACACACACACGGAATCCTCTGATGAACAAAGGCATTAGCTTTCTTGATCAAATTTGAGACAGAACCTCAAACCCAGTTTCTCAGTCGCACACAATCACTTTTTATAGCATTACTGCCTAGGATCAAGTGCCTTGGCCAGAAACCAAGAAAAACTATCTAGATGTCTTCCTGCAAGGATATACGTCGAGGTTGATTTTTAAAAAATGTTCCAGCAAATTTCCTGGGTTCTGGACAAAGCCTAAAGGTTCAAACTGGATTTTTCCCGGCTGACCTCGGGGAACAGTGTTCAGGAGACCTGGAGGCTTGTCACGTTGCTCCCATAGAGTCCCTTCAGGAAGCAGTCCCTTAGCTCTTGGACAGTCCTGTGGAGTAGATGACATCTAATCTGCAGGTGCTGGGAAGGAGTCTGAGGGCCGAGCAGGAGCTGACTGCTGGTACTTGGTGGAGAGCAGAGTCTTCTCGGAGCCTCTCCCCTGGACAGGCCTCCTCGGTGCTGACTTTTGTGGTCCATCCTACATTTTCTACCTAAAGCATCTTGCGATTTGCTGGGCTGGATCTGGCTGAATGCTCAATCGCTCCTTTCTGCAAATGTGAAGCCCATGCCTTGTGCCTTACTGTGACTGGGTGGCTACTGGGGAATCCCGTGCCCCTGCACCAACCTGCACCATGTGTACCTGTTCTTCGGATTGACCTGTTCCTCTCTTGCCGCCTCTAGCAGTTATCACCCAAGCAGACGACGGAAAGAGTCTGAGACACCCAGCGCCGCCTCAGCTTTCTGCACAAGCTCCTTCCTTCCTAGGTTTTGCACCTCTCTGGCTTTTGAAGGTGCCAACATCAGGAGGGGAGAGGGCTGTGGCCCCTGCTCCCTGCGCTGGACTTGCAGTCTCAGGATGCTGCGGAATTCAGAGCAGCAGGGATACCTGCGTTTGGCACCATCTTCTCCCTTGACCACAGACACACGAAGCACTGTTAACTCAGGTGTGATTTCCCAGGGGTGCAGAGGAGTTCTGTGAGTATTCACACGCTGTCTGTCATTAGAGGAGTAAACGGAAGAGGATCCAGTTCTGAGCCTTACATGGGGGATCTGTCTTCTCCAGAAGGGAGAGGGACACTATGGGTGCGACCCAGAGCCGCCAACCCAAGGCTCCGCCGGCTCCCAGCAGGGCACTTAGCTTGTGGCTTCCCAGCAAGAAGGAGTCGGCTTCCGGAAAGAGATTTAATTGTCCCATTTGTCAGCTCTGCTTCACGGGGTAACACTGACAAAGACTGTGACCTCTTTGCAACAGGAAAACGGACAGGACAGTGATCGGACAGACTCCTCTGTGGAAAATGACGTTGGATGCTCACCCAGCTGGGGGCTACACGCTTCACACACCGACCCTCGGGCCCTCTGCCCGGTTCCCCTTGGCAGGACCGCTCACCGAAGAGACCTGAACTTGTTTTTTGCAGTCCTGCCCAATATAAGCCTGGGGATAGAAGGAAAGAAGCAGAAACAGGAAATATGGACTCAGGGCTTACTGTGTGCTGCAAGCCATGAGAAATATCAAAATCATAAAACATGGTCCCTGCTCTCCCTCAAGGAGATTACAATATACTTGAGTAAATTAAAAACGAAATAAGAAAGTATTTGAACTACAGTTCGGTACGCTAGTCAGAGAGGGCCACGAGGCAAGGAATGATTAACTGGAAAATGATTGGAACAGGCTGTAATTGGAATTGAGAAATGGGAATTTGCTCTCTTTTTGGAATCCGGGCCCGGCTGGGCAAGTTGACTTATTCTAAAGAAAGCTGTTGTGTGGGAAAAAGGGCAGAAGAAAATCCTTTGTATTTGCATCCTGAAAAAAAAATCGAGGTGATGTTTCTTGTACCTGGCAGCTGCTGCTGCAGGCTGACAAACTGGCTCTTTGGGGGATAAGAGTAAAGGACAGATGTGCTGGGAATCTTATGAGTCATGAGCAGAAGACCTATTTTTATGCCCTCATAAACTCCAAAGGGAGAGGGAAGTCAGCGTTGGGGAAGAGATGGCGCTGGTCTGGGGAAGAGAGGAAGCTGTTATGTAAGCCTCAAGCAACATGGCGCACGCAGGGATTGGATTCAGCTCCTGGTGGTGCTGGGGGACAAGGAAGTCATATTGGAGTCTCTGACGACACGTGTGACTGTGTACAAGTGCCGGGGGCTGTTGGAAAGAAAGGAATTGAATCAAGATACCCCTTCCCATCCCTTGCCCTGTGCCACTGAAGAACAAGCCACCTTCTTTGTGGGTGAAGAACTTGTAAGGGGACAGGTTCCACATTTTTTCTCTTTCATAAATATGTATACTTTCCCTCTGATGAACAAATCTGAGACCTTAGTGAGTCACTTATTCTATGAAAGGGAAACTAGGAAAAATCTCTGTCCATCAAAGTGAAGGAAATGCAAGGAGGTTTGCCATCTGTTTGAAGCTTCTGAATGAGGAATGGAAACACAAATAAGTATTGGCCTCCAAAGGTCTGCTGTACACATGGTGCAGTAATTGCATTTAAAAAATTTTTTTTTCCATACTGAAACTAGTACATTGAAAACCCCTGGAGATGTGGCAGAAGCAAACCCAGAACCCTCTGTAGAGACATTTCTATAACGCGGTGTTCTTGGGGGACTCGTGGTGGTGAGAGGGGGAACAGCTCTGCAGAGGATCAGCTCCTGATCAGAAGCTACAAATGTCACAGGGAAGTAATCCACCATGAGTCGGCACACGCAGCAGACAGAGGATGAGAAGCTCGAGAACCAGTCGGTAAGATCATAGGTTTGAAACTGTTAAATACATAAAAGTTTTAAAAATCACGACGACGGAGTGTGACATCATGACAAAAAGATCAGGCAGAACTGTAAGAAAGCCAAAAACAAAACAAAACAAAACAAAAACAATGAATGCCCCAGTTAAAATAAGTAGATCAGAATTGAAACATAAAGCCGAATATCACAATGAAAGAACAAGTGAACTGGAAGATGGATCCATGGGCATCATCCAAGAGCAGCCCAGAGAGAAAGGAATAGAGATATTAAAACAAGGTTAGTAACCTAGAAGGTAGAACAAGAAAGCCCAGAATATTTTAAAAATTTTCAGAAAAAAAAAGAGAATTATCATAGGTCATTAGGGAATTGTCCATTAAAGCAAAACACCCCAATTAAACAAGATAGCATTACACCCCCATGAAAATGGCAAAAATCCTGAACGCCCATGGCACCAGTCAATGCTGGTGAGGACGTGGATCAGCAGGAACTCTTGTTCCTTGATGGCAGGAGTGGGAAAGGGGACAGCCACTTTGGAATAGAGGTCACACTTTCCCAAAGCTAGACAGAGTCTCACCTTACAACCCAGCAGGAATGCTCCCAAGTATTTGCCCATATGAGTTGAAAATAGGTCCCGAAAAACTGCACGTAAATGTTTAGGGCAATTTTATCCGTAATGGCTCAAACTTCGAAATCACCAAGATGTCCTTAAAGTAAGTGGACGGATGAATACAGTGGCCATCCAGAGCATGGAATATTATTCACTAATAAACAGGAATGAGCTGTCAAGCCAGGAAAAGGTACAGAGGAATTAGAAATGCATGTTAATAGGTCAAAGAGGCCAGTCTGAAAAGGCCACATGCTGTACAATCAACTCATCGCTGTTCTCAGGCCTGGAATCACAAAGCTATAGAGACACTGAGGATCGGGGGTTACAAAGTGAAATCCTCAGAAGCAATTCAAGAGAAAATATGGATCGCAAAGAAAGTAGCACCAATAAGATCAGCCGCCGTCTCACAACTGCAGTCCAAATCAGGAGGAAACTGGAGGACATCTTCAAAGACTGGACCAAAAAAACTCTCTCAACTTAGATTCGTATGTTCAAGTAATTCAAGAGCGAGAACAAAACAAGAGCAACACGTGCTAACTTCACAAAACCAAAAGGACCCATTTGAGATCAATAATCATGATTCACCTCTTTAAAGGAGAATCAATGAAAACACTTGAAGTATTTATTTTCCTCCAAATGTCTCTTATCACATCTTAGAAATTACATATGCACATGTATGCATATAGCCGTAATCTGAATTTAAGGTCACATGCATCGTCTTTGATTATTGGTATCCTTGAAAGATGATTTTTAAGGGCTGAATCATTCGTCTTAAGTGCCATGGTTTAGTGAATTGCCCGACAGTCAGTGTAATTACCAGACGCTTAGATCAGAGAATTCCTCCCACATGACAAAGACAGGATGATGCTAAGCATGCCCACCAGTTTCCTCTCATTGAAAACCCCACCTGCTTCTCTAACTGCAACTGAAGGGAGGAGGTGTTCAGTTTGCAAGGGGCCATTCAGAGCCGGAGATGTCTTCTTCAATTGAAGTCTTGTGTCCCATGTATACTGCGGGTGGGTGGCTTTTTGGAGTAACTCTGGATGTTCTAAAGAGATGAGAAAGAAGGAACGGATCCATTCGGGGGCTGCCCTCCACCAGGCCCCGGGCGGGCATTCTCTCGGTGACAGTAAGGAGCAGCACAAGCTATTGTTTATGAGGACTGACTGGGAACAGGCACTTCAGGGTGCTCACCACGACTCCGAGCAGGGGCCATACATTCCACAGACGGCGTAACTGTGGCTCCAAGTCCACACAGCAGGCCAGCGACGAAGTCAGGTGGCAGTGAGGTCTGTCCGTGCAGCTTGCTGCTGGTCGGTCCCCACATCCTGCTCAGAGCTTGGGGGGTTCTGGGGGCAGGGGTGGGTAAGCAAGTGGAAGAGCCTAGTAATGACCCAAACCAAACCAAAGCAGGCACCGAGCCCCGGTCTCTATTCTGGGCGTGGTTCCAATTTCACGGTGATGATAACGGGCCTCATCCTGGTTATCCTGACTTAGCAAGTGAGCGACCAGAGGGCCGTCTTGCCTCAAGGTCACACAGCTGTAGGTCACGCACTTCTGTCCCCAGCCCCCCTGGTCCTCACTGCCTGGGTGTTGTGTTCCTTTCAGGGGAGATGGAGGAGCTGGAGACTCTGTGGCTCACGGGGATCTGCCACAACGAGAAGAACGAGGTGATGAGCAGCCAGCTGGACATCGACAACATGGCGGGCGTGTTCTACATGCTGGCCGCCGCCATGGCCCTCAGCCTCATCACCTTCATCTGGGAGCACCTCTTCTACTGGAAGCTGCGCTTCTGCTTCACGGGCGTGTGCTCGGACCGGCCCGGGCTGCTCTTCTCCATCAGCAGGGTCAGTACCACGGCTGGCGACATCCTGGGGTAGCGGGCAGGTGCAGGAAGCCCAGGAATTCCAGAGGAGTGGGCGGATTTCACTTCTTTTGGGGTCTGCACATCCTCGCCTCCTCACCCTCCCGTCTTGGGTTTGTCAGAAAGGACCCGGGGTTCGTGCATGTCCAAGCCAGAGGTGCGAACTCAGAAAGGGAGTGAATGGGAATGGGGAGGCAGGCTGGGCCTGAGGGGAACAGCCCGGGTGAGACGAAGCACCCTGGCCAGATTGTGGCGTCTCCACGGAGAGCAGCAGGGAATCCGGAGACTGGGGCAAATCGCATGTTATCAACCTGAAGGAGGCGGCCATTCTCAGCTGCCCTCGGCGCTGTCTCACGGGAAGTATGGCCAACACTGTCAGGTATTCCACTTTCAAAAGAGAAAGTGTCCTCTGGTTTTATGTGAAACTGATTTTAAATATTAGTAACTAATTCATTTAAAAACCAGGGGTCAACAAAGCCTCTCCACCTGTAGCCTCCATCCTAAGGACCCACATACGCCATCCAGTACGTAGACTTCTACCTCACTGTAACATGATTCGCACAACAAAACAGATCCACGTCACACGCCATGCAGCGTGCACAGACTTCAAACAAAACTACGTGCAACCCAGCAGAGCCTGGATGAAACAGAGACCTACAGCACAGAGGAACTCCATGCACATCCACCAGGAAACAGCACACGGCTCAACACAGAAAACTCAACACACACAACACACACAACTCATCACACACAACTCAACACACACAGCTCAACACACAGCTCAACACACACAGCTCAACACACACAGCTCAACACACACAACACACACAACTCATCACACACAACTCAACACACACAGCTCAACACACAGCTCAACACACACAACACACACAACTCAACACACAGCTGAACACACACAACACACACAGCTCAACACACAGCTCAACACACACAACTCAACACACAGCTCAACACACACAGCTCAACACACACAGCTCAACACACACAACACACACAACTCAACACACACAGCTCAACACACACAACACACACAGCTCAACACACACAACTCAACACACACAACACACACAACTCAACACACACAGCTCAACACACACAACTCAACACACACAGCTCAACACACACAGCTCAGCACACACAGCTCAGCACACACAACAGCACAGGGTACACCCGCTGCAGTCAGCTCGCGTGCGACTCCTGGGAACCTCCTTTCCCACAGCTCAGTCTGGAAGGTATGCTTTCCCCTCAGTGTGCACGTGACGGAGTTCCTCCGTAATGGGGATGCTTGTATCGATGGAGCATTTCCACAGGCCAGGTGCATACAAGGACTTTGTGTCCTTCCTCTCACTTAATCTGCAATATAAAGGTGAGGAAGGTAGTGCTACTAGTCCCAGATGTGCAAATGGCAAAACTCGAAAGTGGAGGTTGAGAGAGTTCTCCCGGATCACACAGCCAGTAATGTGGAGACAGGGCTTGAATCCAGACGGTCAGGGGCAGCAAAAGCCCTCACTCTTCCACAAACAACAAACCATCAAATGTGAGCAACACAGGACATTTATATAGTTCATACTGTGAACACACATGTGCATGCAACTCACATAACATGCTCACACGTGTGCCACAACCTAGACACACCCCTACCTGTAATGTAAGAAATGCACATACCTGCATATTGTCCATGCATCTTCCAGTCAGTCTATCCACACATCTGTCCATCCATCCATCCATCCATTCTTTCATCTATACCTATTTCTTCCATTTACCACCTGATAGGTTTTTTCACCCTGAAAGAGCTTAATTGAGTTAGAATTTGAAATATGGTTTTAAAAAAAAACATTGTTTAAAAACATCTGATTTTATATGCTAATGTTCATTGGGAAAACTAAATAATCACTTTAAAATAAATTTGTGTATTCTTAGCATTTGGCGATTTTAAGAACTTTAGAGATTCGGAAGGTACACATTAGCTTAGCGAGAAAGATTTATTTTCTCCATTCAATAGCACTCCAAACTCGGGTTCTGTGCAAATACATACTTCCTAATTAGCTTGATGGCATCTAAACACACAGATTGCTTAAAAATAACAACGTGCATGCATATAGCTAGGTATTATGCCAACTTTAATTCTCCCAGCCAATTACCAAAGGCTTTTCATATCCAAATGATTCTGGGATTATCTTGAGCAAATGCACACTGTTGCGTTTGCTTGTAAATCCTGCTTGGTTTTGGAAGAGCATTTCCTCTACCCGAGAACCCCTGAAGGAAGCCAAGTTGATAGGATCATCATCACAAAAATGAGCTAAGTCCCTGGCCCCGGTTCCAAGCCTCCTGAGGGGTAGGAGAGGACAGGGAGCTAGGAGCAGGCTGTGTTGGTGTTGCTGCAGGTCAGGGGGAATCTGGCCACCCCTTGTAGGGGGAGAGGCCCCTGGTGCTATGTGAGCAGGGACTTCTGGATCCCCATGGGGACTCCCAGGTACCATCACTGCTGTGTTCCCAAAGGCTGTGGGGAGCCCTCCTTGAGTACTGGTTCCCCTTCCCCCAAAATTTGTGTTTTACAGTCAGTGTAACCTGATCTGTATGAGGAGGAAATTCTCGTTCTTATTAATACTTTCCTGCCTCTTTTTATTAGGGGAGCTCAGAATAGGCTGAGTCGGCTCTGAGTTGCCAAAAAATAAAAAGGTCCTTCCTTTCTGGTCAAGGGCTACCTCCACCGGCAGAGCTTGCCTCTCAGGCACGTCCACACATTCACCATCTTATGCCCACTCTAACTCACAGCACGGAGAGCAACGCCCAGGCATAACCCCGTTCACTGCGTCCATGCAATCATTTGCTTAAAATAAAACAAAACCCCGCAGTAGGGAGTTTGCAGCAACAGCCGCACATAGTGTGTTCACTGCAGACCTGGGCCAGGGACGTCCCCTCCAAACTCTGCAGTCTCCACAGCACCCTGTGAGGCTGCCCCAATCCCACCCGTCCTGCAGTGGGAGGCTGAGGCTCCAAAGGCCAGAGTGGGACCTTGGGCTTCACTGTTTCCTGAAATAACAGGGCTCTGCACACTTCACCCAGAGGCTAGACAAAGGCACGGAAGAGAGAGATCTGCCTCTCAGGCAGAGTTGGTCACATGCATCAGTCTGCTTCAGAGTTTGGGCTCCTTTCTAAGGATGCTGATCCCTAATGCTCTGAGATTTACATCGCCCCAAGGCAGACATTCTCTGCATAGATCCTAGATCTTCTCATCACCAGTTCTCCTTTGAGCACAGTGAACACCCAGCCAATAGACGTGAAGCCCTCGGCTCTCAGCGGGCAGCCCCACCCCTCCCCGCGGGCTGCACATCCTGAGATACTCTAGAGGGCGCAGCGCCAATCCCACCCGAGTTACAGCACCCGAGGCCCTGCCAAGGGGTGGGTCCCAGGGGTCCCAGGCCCCCGACTCTTCCAGTTTTCCTGTGATATGCTCTTGTCCTCCTGGGCAGTGCATCTGGAAGGCCAGTCAACTCATTTGGTGGATGCGGTCATCCAAACCTGGCTGGTCCTTCCCTCTGCCTCCTGTGCCTGGGACCTGCCTTAGCGGTGTCTCATTAGTCCTGGGAAGCCGAAAGCAGCCACCACCCACCTCCTGCAACAGCCCAGCTCCTCCCAGCACCACGGTGGCCAGCTCATCCTGGCCGGTGGGAGCAGATTGCTCTGAGGGAGAAGGGAGGGAGGAAAGTTCTAGACTCTCCAGGCGGAGAAAGGGAGCTGGTTAAAATAAAACTGCAAATTTAGAAAAAAACAAATTAAACTAGTGTTTTCATAATGTTGAGAACAAGAAGGAAAAGCGTAGTCATCAGCCGATTCTGACGTCAGGAAGCAACTGATCTCCATCTAGAGGAGCAGCACCCCCCTAGGCCAGAGCTAAGGAGCAGCACCCCCCTAGGCCAGAGCTAAGATGGTTATATCACTAAACGGGGCAAGGAGTCACAGGTGAGCGTGCAGGTTAGGTGGCACCTGGGACATTGCAGGACTGTCACACCCACCGTGTGGATGCTCCAGAGCCCTTCCAGCAGTGAGGAGGATGAGCAGCCAACTACACAGGCCCCAGAGGGGGGTGCAAGTTAAAGCCACAGGCCAGCATCTGGGGCCTCAGAGGCTCGGGTGGAGAGGGTTAGAGGAATGCTCCAACCCACAAGGGTCGGCCTTCTGTTGACTGTTCCAAAAAGGCTGCCGTGGAAACTGTCTTTAGAAATGTCCAGAAAAATGCGACCGTGCAGATGAGTCGAGGCTGCCACAGTCCCCGAGCGTCCCTGCGGGGTAAGCAGTGGAGCCTCCATTATCAGAGTCAGTTAATCACACAAACCTCCTGTAGCTCACGCCACAGTCCGCAGCAGCTGCCGAATCAGCTGTGCAGATCCCTTCCAGCGTTGTCTAGTCCTGGGAGGACCAAGTCAGTCCTGCAGCCCGGAGCCGATTGTTTCCTTTAGGTACAGCTGCCAAAGCCTGGGGTAGGGGCGGGAGAAAGCGGGCGGCCACAAATCAAAATGTTGTGGATGCTCTCTTGCCTGTTACAGCAGATGAATCAAGAGCTTGTCCCTGACGACAGCTAAACAGTTATTATTGGGTTTTTTGTTTTTGTTTGAAGTGCTGTCAGGACCTCACACACGCTAGGCAAGCCCTCTACCCCTGAGCCTCGCTCCTGGCCCTAAACAGACACTTTTAACTGAAAACAAAAAACAAAGCTACTCCTGGTAGAGCAGCACACACCTGTGATCCAGCAGCTTGGGAGGCTGAAGCAGGAGGACCGTGAGTCCAAAGCCAGCCTCAGCAACTTAGCAAGGCATTTAGCACCTCAGCAAGACCCTGTCTCTAAATAAAATATAAAAAAGGGCTGGGGATGTGGCTCAGTGGTGAATCGCCCCTGAATCCTCAGTACTGGAAAAAAATTAAAAAGTTATTTCTAAGAAAGGAGTGGAAAATGAGGAGACTTAGAGGTGATCGTGTCATACTTCAGCTGCCCGGGAGTCCCTAAGTCCTTCCGTTCCCTGGACGGACTGAAAGGAGGCATCTCCGTGTCACGAGAACTCCTCACGATCGTTAGCGATGGGAACCCAATTCTAAGTGCACACACTCACCAACAGAGCAGGTCAATAAGAAGTCAAAGAGGGCGACTCCGTGGTTCAAGCCACTTCACCTGGTGGCCTTCCTTCAGCAGCCCCACAGCATGGCAGGCTGGCCTGCCACCGTCCTGTTCCAGCAGCTGTGTCTGTCCCTCCGTGAGGGGTCTGACTGCCTCCCGGGGATCTCGCTCCTCCCTTCCGTGTGTCCCAGGACAGGGAGTTTCTCGGGCCTCTTCAGGCTCCTCCTGGCTCCATGCCTTGATCTCTCGGTGGCTTCAGCACTCAGGCGGGTCATTCCAGAAAAGAATCCATTGTAAGTGACCCTTGCCTGGGGACTTGGATTCTTTGTCAGTAGCTGACTCTCTGCTGTCCAAACTCCAAAGACGCTGCTAGAGAACGTGGACAAGACTGGCTCTGTGCTGCAGGTGTTGGGGGGCCGACTGAATGTCCTGGTGGGTCAGTCCTGAGGCCCAGAGACCTACAGTTGTATGAAGGTCGGCTGATTCCTTCTCTCAAACTCCACGTGTGACTCGTGGCCAAGGTAGTCCTAGCCGGAGCTGTCAGACAAACCTGAGGCCCTATAAGTTGGGGTTCAGTGAAGAGTTCATCAGGGGTCAGAGGACACTGCTGTTTATCCGGGGTTCCTACAGGAAGCCCACCTCCCCTCTGTGGGTGAGGTCCAGGTGGGAACGGTCTGGCACCACGGGACCATGCTGACGGCTGTTTGGTCTTGCTCCCTCACAGGGCATCTACAGCTGCATTCACGGAGTGCACATCGAAGAAAAGAAGAAATCTCCAGACTTCAGCCTGACCGGTTCCCAGAGCAACATGCTGAAGCTCCTTCGGTCGGCCAAGGACACGTCCAACGTGTCCAACATGAACTCCTCCAGAATGGACTCACCCAAAAGAGCCCCGGACTTCATCCAGAGAGGTTCCCTCATCATGGACATGGTCTCAGACAAGGGGAACCTCATCTACTCGGACAACAGGTCCTTTCAGGGGAAGGACAGCATCTTTGGGGACAACATGAATGAACTCCAAACGTTCGTCGCCAACAGGCACAAGGATAACCTCAACAACTACGTGTTCCAAGGCCAGCACCCTCTCACCCTCAACGAGTCCAACCCGAACACGGTGGAGGTGGCCGTGAGCACAGAGTCCAAAGGCAACTCCAGGCCCCGGCAGCTGTGGAAGAAGTCCATGGAGTCCCTGCGCCAGGATTCTCTGAGCCAGAACCCGGTGTCCCACAGGGATGAGGGGACCACCGTGGAGAACAGGACCCACTCCCTAAAGAGCCCCCGGTACCTTCCCGAAGAGGTGGCCCACTCCGACATCTCTGAAGCTTCCAGTCGTGCCACGTGCCACCGGGAGCTGGACAACAACAAGAGCCACAAGACCAAGGACAACTTCAAGAGGTCCCTGGCCTCCAAGTTCCCCAAGGACTGCAGCGAGGTGGAGCGCACCTACCTGAAGACCAAGGCGGGCTCGCCCAGGGACAAGATCTACACCATCGACGGGGAGAAGGAGCCCAGCTTCCACCTGGACCCGCCCCAGTTCGTGGAAAACATGGCCCTTCCGGAGAACGTGGGCTTCCCGGACAGCTACCAGGATCACAACGAGAACTTCCACAAGGCGGACTCCACGCTGCCCATGAACCGCAACCCCCTGCGTAACGAAGACGGGCTTCCCAACAACGACCACCAGTACAAGCTCTACGCCAAGCACTTCACCCTCAAAGACAAGGGGTCCCCCCACAGCGAGGGCAGCGACCGCTACCGCCAGGGCTCCACCCACTGCAGGAGCTGCCTCTCCAACCTGCCCACCTATTCCGGCCATTTCACCATGAGGTCCCCCTTCAAGTGTGACGCCTGCCTGCGGATGGGCAACCTCTACGACATCGACGAAGACCAGATGCTGCAGGAGACGGGGAACCCCACGCCCCGGGAGGAGGTCTACCAGCAGGACTGGGCGCAGAACAACGCTCTCCAGTTCCAGAAGAGCAAACTGAGGATCAGCCGCCAGCATTCCTACGACAACATCCTGGATAAACCCAGGGAGATGGACCTGGGCAGGCCCTCCCGGAGCATAAGCCTCAAGGACAGGGAGCGGCTTCTGGAGGGCAACTTGTACGGGAGCCTGTTCAGCGTCCCCTCCAGCAAACTCTCGGGGAACAAGAGCTCCCTCTTCCCCCAGGGTCTGGAGGGCAGCAAGAGGAGCCAGTCTCTGTTGCCAGACCACACCTCCGACAACCCCTTCCTCCACTCCCACGGCGATGACCAGCGCCTCGTTATTGGGAGATGCCCCTCAGACCCCTATAAACACTCGTTGCCCTCGCAGGCCATGAATGACAGCTACCTTCGATCATCCTTGAGGTCCACGGCGTCGTACTGTTCCAGGGACAGTCGGGGCCACAGTGATGTGTATATTTCGGAGCATGTTATGCCTTATGCTGCAAATAAGAATAATATGTACTCTACCCCCAGGGTTTTAAATTCCTGCAGCAATAGACGCGTGTACAAGAAAATGCCTAGTATCGAATCTGATGTTTAAACTCTCCCATTAATGTTTTATCATAGGGAAACATGGAGTGGTGAGCGCTCTGGAGGGTGAATGTGGTCGTCCGATAGTGCCCTGCAAGGAGGAGGAGGGCTTAGAGAGGTCATTTTTGTTGGCTCTTTTGCACATGGCTCATGCCATAATCTGCCACTCAAGGAATCTTTGAGCTGTGTGCTGAGCACAGCAGAAACCAGAGAGTTAAGTCCTTAACCAAAAACAAAACAAAAAAAAAAAAGGGCAGGTCTCCGGACACGCCTTACCAGGTGTGTTGGCAATAACGGCCCAGGGTGTCGATGGCGATGTTATGGTTCCCTGTATTCAAATCCCATTAACATCGGTCCACCATGTCATTTCCTCATCTGAAATGCCTAATGGTTTCTCTAATACAGAATAAGCAATATGGTATGCATGTGACCCTGACACAGACAATAGGACAGTTAGGAACGCACCTGCACCGGAGCGAGATGGACCTGTGCGGGAGGTTAGGAAGTCTGGCTCGTAACCGTTCTCACTTTATTGTTATGCTGCCCCTCATGCCCAGGCCCGACCCCGAGAGCCCCAGGCTCCCCCAAGAATAGCAGATCAGCGTGTTCGTGGCTCCTCCGCTCCCTTTACCACCGTCCCTCCAAGACGCAGCTGGAGCGAAACGCCACAGGGACTCTCAGGCGGAGCCACAGGGACTCTCAGGCGGAGCCACAGGGACCTCTTTGGATGTTGATGTGCGTTTTCCTCTCATCCTGGGCTCTGATGGTCTTGCTCAGAGTTGCATAAACTAGCACGTGTGTGTCTTCGATACCTAAGTGTGGATCTTCTGTCCGCGACACAGTGGCCGTTGTAGTTGACCCCGAAGACTCCTGTGTACGTAAGTTCGCATTTCCTCCCTTCTGGTGACGACTCAGGGTTGTATAGTATCTGTTACCCCGACCCTCCCAGCGGAACCGTAACTTGTCCCGTCCCCCGAACAGCCATGGTGGTGTCTAATTAGCTGTGTGTTTCTGTTCCCAGAGTTGTTAATGTGGTGACACGTGCCAACAGCCATATGCGTACAGTGATCTGTAAGGAGCACCGTGCCATCTGTCTGCCCGAGCCTAGCATGGTTTTAGGTTTATCTTCCTTAATGTCACAAAACGCTCTTGGACGCTCATTTCCACCCCAACCTCCTCAAATCAAAAGTCTCCAAAACATGAGACACTCATGCCTCCTCCCTGAGCACCCCCCAAATTGTGGATGAACTTGATGAGCTGAGCGCTCTCTCTCTGCTGAAACACACACTCTCTCTCTCCAAGGCAAACTGCCTCGTCAGCACCAACAGAAATATGTGAAAAACCCCCAGACGCGTGTGTCTCATCTCATTCTTACTCTGCTAAAACCCGGGCACGCACGGCACGGGTGACTCTCGTTATCAAAAACAGTTGGAGGCAGAGAGGGGAATATTCACACTTGGGAAACTTCTTAGCACAGCACCTGCCGCATTAAAAAAAAAAAAAAAAAGCAAACAGAAAAAATAAAGGTCGTTGTTATTTTATGACACTTTTTCAGACCAGAATTTTCTAGTTTCAAAATTAAATATCATAAAACCAGCAAACGGTATGACTGAAACATTTTGTATGGTTCTACTCTATTAGTATATTTTAAATACACAACTATCCTGGAAATAGTTGGGCTAATAGCCATCCGTTTTTGCAGAGGACCTCGGTCTCATTGGTAGCCTCCTGCATAAACCTGAGCTCTTGTGGAACTAGCCTGACCATTTCCCGGTTTCTTACTGACGTTTGCTTGGGCTCTTGGAGAAGGAGACAGGTGGCAGGTTGCACAAAAATGACCCGTTTCTCCCCCTCAGGCTGTGTTCTGCTCCATAGGCAGCGTGGTTTTTCTCCAAGTGGACAGCAGCTGGGGATGGCTCTCTCAGAGCTCAGGGATACACGGACCGGCTTTGCTCTAGAAAGGTGCCCTGCCCCGACACTCGCATCATGTTGAGAAGGAGCTGAGGTGAACCTGAGTGTCCACAGTAGGCAGCAGAGGAGGCCTGGGAGGGAACAGCTTCCTATCGTCTTAGGCAGAGGAGGCGGAGGTGGTGCAGGTGACCCACGGGCTTGAAAATGACATTTTGTTTCTTGGATGCTGCATCTTTTCAAGACCCCAAAATGGGGAGACCTGGATAAGAGGACCTGGGATGGTCGCCCCTATTTCTGACCTTGATTTAAGTTTCTGAGGCTGTGCAGTCTCCAGCCCCTTCTGACTCTGCCCTCCCATCGCATCCCAGCCCTGGGCTCGCCCAGCCGAGGTCACTGCCATGTCCTCATGAGCCTGGCCTGTCTTAACAGGAAGTAAGTTCTAAAAGCCTCCCCAGAACACAGGGCAACGATGTCCCACCAATCCAAAGGGGCGTTCTGTCTTCCTCGGGTGTCCCCAGAGCCCAGGGGCCTGCCTGATGCCACACACAGTCTCCAGGGCTGACTCCATCCGTCAGCAAGCCTTCCCCTAAGAACAGCATCGTTGGCTGCTGACCCCTACGTTTCTGGAGGAAGAGACTAAAAACGTGGCTTTTGGGAAAAGCCCACAAGAATACGGTGGGAGAAATAGACTTCTCTTCATATCCAAGGTGTTTGTAAAACAAGTCACAGTAAAAACAGCTGGAAATTAGAATCTATTCCGTGGACACGTGTTTTCCATCCCCCGCTCTCTCGCTGACACTTAAAGGCCAGGGCTTCAACAGGAAGATCAGCCACTGGGCGACGGGCGGTTTCCCAGTGAGAGACCATACTGGGAAGCGATGCAAAGGGAGCCCAGGTCAGTTCAGTCCTTTCACGAAGTAAAACCAGATTCGTGGCGCCCATGAGAAACGGTGCCTCTGGTGCGGGAGGTGAGGGGAGCTCGTGGGAGCCCTGAGCTCTGCACCCATGACAGAGGGCTCCGTGACCCTCCCAGCCCTGAGATCTGGGCGGCTGATGCCGTCTAAGCAGAACGCCCAAGTTTCACCTGGATTAAGTCAGAGCTGCCATCTCTCCTGACATTTCAGTGACCACAAGTGACTTCCCCCTTCTGTACCGATCCTCAGAGAGGTACACTGGGATGCGATGGCCAGGTTCCTGTCCACGGGCAGTAGCACACGCAGTCACCTAATGGAGAGGATTCTGTGAGAGAGTCTTCTGGGCATAACCTCTGCTCTGGGGACCTTGGTGTTCAGGAAAGTAGTTTCCATCAACCTTGCACCTGCGGGCTCTGGGGCTGTTTGTGGCTATGTTCAATGCTCCAAGCAGACAGTTCCCAGTGGGTCCGTCTCCCCGGCAGTGAGGTTCCAAGAGCTGGAGGGATTATAATAACCTCACCACCCCGTCCACCTCTCTCCGTTATTTTATCCACCACTACAAATGAGTGTCTCATGGATTCTCCTTGGTTTTCTCATCTTATTTCCCAGGAAAGACCTCATACTTAGCTTTTCTGATGAGAACATTAAAATTCACCCATTGCGGCAAAATCTGTCACATCAGTTCACGCATACTTTCTGGGGAGAAAAAAAGAAAAGTACACCTTGTTTACAAATGAAATAGTTTCATTTAAATGGGACTTTAGCCAAGGTGGTTAATTAGTCAAAAGATCCACAGTCGTCAGCGGGCACACATTGTTTATTCTATTTGATATGTCTACTACGGATGTGTATTTAATATTCTGCATCCTTCTCAGGAAATGACAAATGCCCTGAAATCTTTGCAAATAGAATTGCTAATGAAAAAGAGAAAAAGAAAGTTGGTGTTAATTAAATGGTGATTAAAAATTTATCTCCTTTAAACCTAAAAAGTGCAGCTTTAATAATCGGTTGTCATATAAATAAATACCTTGCGGTTTAAGACCTAAATAAATACTAATTTGAGAAAACCTAAATGCCCTTCAGAGGAGCTGAATGTATTCGTTAGCAGGATGCACATATCTGGACTGTTTCTTTGTGCGGAGCCGTTATGCGTGAATCCTTGAGGGATCACGGGTTGTTTCCGAAACGGAGCCCGTGTCTGTGTGGACCGCGGCTACCGTAGACAGAATTGAACTTAAAAAAAAAAAAAAAAAGATGGAAGTGGGTGGAAGCTCAGTTCATTGGCTGGTTTGTGATATGTTAGGGTCCCGGGCAAGGTCTGTCTTCCTTCCAACTGCATCGTTTTATGTTTACTTGAGTCAAAATCAGGCCCTTTCTGGATACTTCATCTTTTTTGCTAAACAGGGTTGAAAAGTGCCAATGGAAAGATCATTCTGGGTCCATACTTGAAAAGTCGTCCCAATGCGCGGCTTCCCTTGTCCCCCGCCCCCGCCCCCATGCCACACTGTGTTCATCTGTCTTTGTCCATTTGGGTTCTGCCTTGCCACCTGGTGTCTGTCAGCTCAGAGCTGGTCAGATGCACTCCCCTGGGAACACCAATGCCGCGTACACATGTGTATAATAGACCGCTTGATTCCTACAGTCCACACCCAGGTGTATTCTCCCAACGGAGTTGCACATATGTATAGTGTTTGTTAAAAAGCCAGCGGCAGTGGTGGCGCTGACACGAGGGAAACCCAGTTTGGTTGTCTTGGCGGGAGGCTGCTTCCGTAGAGAAGGCATTCTAGATTTTTTTAATCTCAGTTCTAGGGAGGGTAACAGAGCCCAAGTGGGATTTGGGGTGTTGGTATTCTTGGTCCCTTAAAAGGCAAAACTCTGGGGTGAGCCATCGTGGAATAGACGCTGTTTACATTTGTTCTAAAGAGGACACTGACGTGGGCTTTGATTTCTCTAAACCCATCCAAAGACATGGATTTCCTACTTAAACCCCTTACCCGCCTCCCCCACCCCTGCATTTCTGTGCCTAGAAGTGCCGAAGGTATAGAATCGCCAAGAGATGCCTGCCCCGGAGGGTCTGAGAAGAAACAGAGTTCGCAGGACTGCACAGGACCTGGGGAAGAGAAGGCAGATGAGAAACTGGAGCTGGACGGGGCAGGGACGGGGAAGACACGGAGTGGGGAGGATGGCGAGGGGCGGAGCCGCGGGGTCTGATTGCTGGCCCTGCTCCCCTTACCAGGCTGACCCACTTCTAGGTCTTTTCAAGGAGGACCCTTCTGAGAACCTCGGATCAGAATCAGAAAGGCCCACAGAACTGACCTGGCTTCCTGTGCCCTGTGTAGACAGACCCGGGAAGCCCCTGTGACCTGGGTTTTCCTACAAACTCTTTCACTCTCCCTCACTTTCCCAGGGACTTTGTCCCTGAGAAAGACCAACAAGGGATGTGGCTTAAAGCCGCGAACCAAAGATGACATCTGGCAGCAATCCTTGAAGTCATAGCGCTACTTCCCAAGCACCGAGGTTGAACCAAGTACCTTGGTTACCTGAGGGGACTCGACGGAGGGTCCACTCTCTTTTGAAGTCCACTTTAGTCTTAGGGGGCTACAAAGGCAATAGAAAACACAGTCCCTTTCAGAAGTAGCTTGTGATTTGGAAATTCCGTTCCTTAACATGGAAGATACCTAAGATGCGTAGATGGCAAACGCATACCAAACAGTAAGGATTAGAAACGATTAGTGAAGTTGCTGCCAAGAAGTAAGAATGAATCCGATCCCAAGGTCAACCTTTAAAAAAAAAAAAAAAGCTCCCCCATATACCCACTGCTCCTGGAAATGCCCTGATGTTGAGACCTCCAGAGGAGGTGTCTAGGAACCCAGGAGCAGCGAACCAGGAGGACGATTCCACACCTCTGCACAGGCAGGCTCGGGCCGGTCCTCCAGCCCTTGCCAGATCACCTCCTCCCAGCTCTGCTGAGCGACATGTGCTTCAGAAGGGCGTTGCAAGGATGAGAAAATGGACCGTGATGGGAAAGAGGGAACAGTTCCCCAAGGGTTTTTTTGTCTGGTCTTGGACTTGTGAGGGACACTTTTGACAGTCCAGGGTATAAATGTATCAGGGAAGGACCAGGGAGGACCAAGTGCCTACTGTTGTGGCTGGAGAAGGGAAGCTGCAGGTTCCCTAGAGAGTCGACACGGGGAGTCTGCGCGGATTTCGGGAGGACCCGCCGGGTGGAGAGGGGATTTTTTTTTACCCTGTCCAACCCAGTTCTGTGCAGGACTGAGATGTGAGATTCTCTGTTTATCACAAGTACACACCATGTGTCAGCAACTAAATCTGGAAATATCAAAATATACCCACACTGAGTATAGCATACATTCTAGGAACATTCTAGAATGAGGTTCTCAAAATAGCCATAGGATAGCAGGATGATTGCTCCCATTTTGCAGATGAGGAATCTGAGGCTTAGTTGTTCTCAGCCTCATCAGAAACTAGAGTCAGTTAATAAATCCCTGATGTTGGACACATTCGCGAAGTGCCTGATCTCCTCCAGGGAGGTCAGAAGAGTAGTCGGAGAGAGAGAGCTGCTGTGGCCAGGTCCCCTTCTCCGGTGTGCTGGTCCCTGATCCTCAGAGTCAGGAATGGAGTGTGTCCATCACACGGGGGGGTCTCACCTCTGTTCACAGTCCCTCCCGAGACTCAAGCATTGTCTGTTCTCTCTCCCTTCATGGGAGCACAGTCAGCATTTATTTTTTGGTTCCTGAGAAGTTATTTT